GGTAAACTTAGCTAAAGAATTAATTATCAAAAATTTAACTTATAATATGATTCTAAATGTTCTAAAGCCATTGATATAAGGACAGTTGAGTTTGAAAAATGAAAGTATTCCTTATAAGCAGGTAATACCCAAGCAATACTGTTCCGTCCACCATTAGAAAACTTCAAATTCATCAAAATATTCTATTGAGGCGTATGCTAAAAACTCTATGGTATGTCAGAAATGAAGATATACACAGTGACTTGAGAATCGAGAGTATGCAAAAGTACTTTAAATACACAGTAGTGAAGTTGTTTGATTCTGTGGACGCTCATATTAATTGTGTATTGCACTCTCTTAAAAAAAAAGTGCAGTATGTACTCCGTCAGCAAAGTATGCTAAGCTTCATAATATACTTCTACAAAGTCATCTGAAAATTATCTTAATTTAATAAAATATTTGTTGTAGTGGCTCACCAAAGTGGTCAAAAGCACTATTGAGTAAAAATGCTTTAGAAAATAACTCGCGTTTCAACGAGCAAAGAAGAAGATATTTGAAACAGTTGATTTTCGGTATGTCTTCATAAACAAAACAAGTTGTGGTAATCCTCGGTGATTTACTTTCGGGAATGGTGCACAACACTTGATGGTCGTATTCGACCAAGGATCTACGTTTCAGCCGCGCTTGGAACCACCAAAATAAGAAAGTTTTTTTTTTATGTACTTGCTTACTTACTGCTGTCCCTCTCTCCTAATAGAACATAGGGCCTCAACGATTCTTCTAAGTTTTCCTCTGTTGCCTGCTTCTCTCGAAATTTGGTTCCTGGAGTACTGTGCGTCTTTAAGCTCCTGAGCCATAGTTAGATAGTTGCCATGTTTAAGCCACCTTGTGGATTCCGTGTGTTCCTAAAGATCAGTATTAGATATGTGCTCCGGCCACCAATATTTTCAGTTTTTTTTTGCTTTAGTATTATTAATTAAAGATATAAAAAAGTATTGAAATATAATGCATATAGATTAAATTTTAAATGAAACATTATCTAAAGATTTAGTATAACCTTTAGAATTACGCATTACATGTGAAACCTTATAATCTTTATTATTTGTCGAATATGTATCTGATTGTAGTCAATCACTACTAATAAAATTAAAGTTATGATACAAATTAACTTGAATTGTCAACTCTTTATTTGTACCAGGTACATTATAGGTGATTACCTAGTATATATAGTGGAACAACGATATTTGTTTCTAAGCTCACTCCTTTTATTCCTTTTATTACTTCAAAATATTTTAGAAGAGGTTTGCGTTCCAGAACTCCCCTTGTATATTGTTTGGAAGTTTCTTGACTTCCGAACGATATTTCAAAAATTTTATGCATAATTTTTTACAAATAATTTTTAGATAATTAAGTAAAGATATTCACTATACATATGTGAATATTTTGTTTAATTTATTAATAGGGTTAGTTATTGTATCTGAATATCTTTGATAATGTTAAAATCCTTTTAATTGTGCCTAGCGAAAATAATTTCCTTTAAAAATCTGCTGGCGCAAAACATTTCAAGTGTTTGTATGCTTAATCACTTATCTCTAATTTTATCTCTAAAAAAGAAAAATATTTAAAAGTATTATGCGCCATTATCATTAGATTTTTTTAACGACGCACAGTGGTACAAAAAACGATTCCATTGGTCAAAAGTTCTAAAATGAACATAAATTTAATAATTAATACTAAAAATCATATCTTCTTAGTTGCTAAATTAACTTTTTATGCACATCTTTGATTAACTTCCATAAAGAGTAGATTATATAGAAAAGAAGGTGAAATTCTTGTTTCAAAATAAAAATTTATACTTATTTAAATTAAGTCATTAGATATATTGGCAATTAAATTAATTTTGTAGATGGAAAACTTTGTCAGGTTACATCAATAATTACATATTATTTGTATGATCGAATGAACATCTAGTCAACTAAACAAAGAATGAACACATACAAGAACGCAATTTAGGAATAATATTCTTTAATAATATTCTTGATTTTGAGTTATCAGGATCAAGAAGAGGTCATTTAGAAAATAAACCAAAGCGATCAGAGTAAAAAGCATACTGAACTGGTGTATTCGTAGAGTAGTCTAAACAAGTTGTAGGCTACTTCAGTAATGGAAAGACAATCCGGTTACTAGGAAATTTAGAAATTACGACAAATATTACAGGATCCAACAGAGAACTGATGAAAGTTCAAAATAATCATTGAGGTAATATCTTGCAAGGAAATAACTGATGCCGAAAAATTTGCATTCTAGTATGGTATGGATAAAATATTTCAGATAATACGGAAAATCTTATTCCATGGAAAAGTTATCATTAGGATAACTTTCGATGAGACATAAGGAAAAAAAAATAAAGGTTTACGATATTTTAGAGAACCCTATACACGCAAGAATAACCAGAATGTGATCGATGAGAATTTTTTCTCACATTTTGTTACTTTCTTTAGAACAATTAATATATATTATTTGCCATCTAGTATACAAATTTTGAGTTCTAGAGACTAAAAGAGTAAAAAAGCACTTAAAAGTAATTCCGCACCTTTTCTAAGGGTTGTATAATAATTCTTACAATTCTACAGTAGCCTGAGTTTAAAATATAAAATACTTTTGTATAACAGCATTATAGTACGCAAAAGATCTTTCAAGTCGCAGTGCATGCACATCCTATCTATAATAATAATAGCATTATAAAACCAATATGGTTTTCTGGTATGCAGTTATTTGATAACGCTAGTGCTAGTGAACCCTTTAAAGAGTTCAGTTCAAAATACTGTGAATAATCATTGGCGCCCATGGTGTATGAGATTAAAAACTTTAATAATTCCTTGCAAAATAAATTAAAAATTATTAAAAAGTCCTTTGTACTTCTTGAGTTATAGAATTTTGACCGCTTAAAATTGATTTTAGACCACTGTGCGAAGATGCTTTATTTCACACTTTTTATCTTTGTAAACATTAAATTTATTAAAATTTATATAAATAATTTGAAGAAACCGCAGCGACTCAATAGCAATCACAAATAAACAATCAACCACAAGATTTCCTCCTCTCTTAGGTAGTATAAACGTTTCATTTAAATGTACATACATATATATTATATTATGAAAGCGTTCATTTAAAGTGTCTCTTATAATAGCTGTAATCTAACAGAATACAAAAAAAAAAAAAACTATAAATAAAATATGTTAATCATATAATGAGCACAAATTGCATTGTCAAATTTCATACGCTTACTGAACAATTGAATTAAGCTGAGCTTTAAATTATTTATACAATTATTCATAGTCTGATAAGTACATACCAGAAGGAACGATAACATAACA